CCCCCCCTGCCTCCTTCTCTCCGAACGCAGAGGGGCCCCTCACCAGCCTATCCCCTCTAGGAGCATTCTCCTCCCCTCACCCCCCCACCCCCAACCCGTCCCGCACCGAGCAGGGTGGGCTCCGCCCCCAGGTGCTGCAGAGGACGCTTTCCCGGCCTCGCCTCTGGGTCTCCCTCCTCGAACCCTCTACCTTGCCATGGGCCATCCCCCCCGCACTCTGCGTCCCGCCTGGGTAGCTGGGCAGGATCCGTGCCAGCCAGGGACACCGATCTCGGAGCACCCGTCAAGCAGAATGGCTACAGTCCCAAGGATGGGTCGCCACACCACCCCCAACATCACCCCCCAGGGAGACAAGATTGGGGGAGGCAGCCTGACCAACAGAGAAACGGATGCCCTGTGCCTCGCCAGGGTGGAAGTGGCTGTGCACAAACCAGTTCGCCTCTTAGAGCTGGGTGTCCTCACCTGTAACCCATAGATCATCAGACCCCTCTCATGGGGCCGCTGAAGGGATTTAGAAATAGAGGGTGCACCGCGCAGTTTCCAGAGTAGTTACGATGCGAAAATCTGACAATAGCAAGTGTTGGTGAGGAAGTGGAGCAACTGGAACTCTCTCCCACTGCTGGGGGGGGGGGCGTGCAAAATGATGCTCTTTCCAAGTGCTTGCATGCCAACCCTATGACCTTGCAATCCCCTCCTAGAGGCACACCTTACGTGATCATCTTTCTCTTCATAGCAGCACTGTTGGTAATAACCAAACTTGGGAAGGGACCCAACTGCCCATCAGACATAGAACAGATACATCCACAGCATTCTCCTATTGGTGCAGTGCAATGTTAGCATGGCTATGAATAATTTATAACCACACACAACATGGGTGACTCTCACACATGATTTTGAGGTAAAAAAAAGCCAGACATCAAAGCATATAGGATTCCATGTGCATGAAGGGGTAAAGTGTATGTAAGTGTATGTAGACGTCAGGATAGTGGTTAGTGTTAGGGGGAGGGGTGCCAGAGCTAGGAGGGGGAAGGCAAGAGAGTGTTTGGGGTGCTGCTGGGATTCCATTTCTTGATCTGGGTGTTGGTTACATGGGTCAGGACCATGACCTGAGCCGAAGGCAGACGCTTAACGATGGGTGTGTATGTCGTACTTCAGTGAGGGGTTAATAAGAACATCAGTGGCATGTGCATAAAGAGCCCAAAGTGGCACCCGACACATCGTGGGCACCTCGTAACTGTCTATCTACCTCCTCTGTTGGGTTTTTGGCTCTTATGGCCAGAGGATGGAGGCAGAGGCGATCCCAGATATGCTGTGACCTTGGGCACCTTTCTTAATCTTTCAGAGCCTTCCTCTGTAAATGAGCCTTCTAATAACATCTACCTCACAAGTTGTCCTGGGGATTAAATAACGCTTTTTATTTTTTTTTTTAAGATTTTATTTATTTGACAGAGACACAGCGAAAGAGGGAACACAAGCAGAAGGAGTGGGAGAGGGAGAAGCAGGCTTCCCGCCGAGCAGGGAGCCCAATGCGGGGCTCGATCCCAGGACCCTGGGACCATGACCTGAGCCGAAGGCAGACGCTTAGTGACTGAGCCACCCAGGCGCCCCTAAATAACGCTTTTAAAAAAAAAAGCTTGATACAGTAAGGAGCACAGAGTAAGGACGTAATAACTTTAATTATTCACTATACCTCGAGTGATGCTACTTATCAAATCTATTTTCATTCATTCAGCGACCAGCTACTGAGTGCCTGCTGTATGCTGTGTACCCGCCAGATGCAGGGTACTAGAGCTGGCAGCAAGATCCTCTGTCCCTCCTCAAGGTTTCCGAAGCAGAATGGGAAACATTCTGATGAAGGAATGCTTGCTAGCCACTGAGGCTGGGGAGCCCAGCATAGGATCTACTCATAGTAGGTCCTGCATAAATGTTTCTAAAAAAGCGAATGAATGCATGTATAAAAGTGTATGCGTAAGGTTTCATGTGAAGAAAATTTCAATGTCAGATTAATTTACTTCTACAGTCTGGGGTTTAAACAACAGAGAATGGACAGAGAGCAAGGTCACTGCACATGCGCATGCACAGGGGCGCATGCATGCATGTGTGCACGCATGTGTGCATGAGGGCTGGGGGCAGGGCCACTCTGCCTGCGCTCCATTCCAGCCTAGCCAGCTGGGGCCTCGTCCAGCTGCCACCACCAGGAAGGGTGTTGCAGAATGCATGTTTGTGTTCCCCTAAAAGTCATGCTGAAGCTCTCATCCCCGGTGGGATGACATTGGGAGGTGGGGCCTTTGGAGTGATTAGATTATGAGGGTAGAGCCCTACTGATGGATGAGTGCCCTTGTAAGAAGGGACCAGAGAAAGCTCCTTTCCTCTCTTTCTGCATGCTGCACCGAGGAGGGCTGTATGAGGAGGCCCTCCCGAACCCAAGCGTGCTGGCACCCTGATCTCGGATTTCCCAGTGTCCAGAACTGTGAGAAATAAGTATTGGATGTTTGAGCTGCCCAGCCTGTGGTATTCTCGTTATAGCAGCCTGAGCTGATTAAGACAGAGGGTGAGGTATGCCTGTCGCTGTCC